ATTCCTTTCTCGATTACATTTGTTAAGTCATATAGCTGAAATATAATAACACACGAAATTATTGATTACCTAGGCAATGTATTCTCAATGTGGCTTACCCAATGAAGAGAAATGTTGGCGACAAAAATGTTGGAAAATAAGTATTCATGTAAAGAAAATTATGCAGAACAAATTCTTCTCAGTGTTTGTTGCGAATACACATACAATTTTTGGTACTCCCTATTCTGTAATGCATTTTCTAGTGAGAAACATTTTTGGATATCATTAGCATGTAGATCAGCGGTGCTCAAGAAAAATTACCTCTTTTCAGTCAAATTTATCTTTGCTTATTTAAATCAAGAACAAAACAGTGTTAAGTCATTATTTATAAAAATATTATTTATCCATTTGCTCTATAAATTAATTTGGCAAACATTCGTGTCTAAAAACAAATTAATAGAACCGTAAGTTATAAAGAAAAACAGAATTTTAATTTTCTCTTAAATTATCTCTTTTTTCGGTTCATGTTCTAGAACACGGTTTTGAGCACCGCTGATGTAGATTCTCTGCCAGATTTAAGATAAATCTGAACGAGAGGAAATATATGTTTATGTTGTAAATCTAGTTTAAAAAATTTGTAACTTAAGATTTTTTATTTGATGTTTCTTTAGTTTAAAAAGTTTTCGTAGAACAAGAATTGAGCTGTAAATAAGTAGGATTCAAAGGATACTCATACATTTGAACAAAGCAAATACGTTAAAAAGCGTTGACATACAATTCGTTATAAAATAAATAAATGCTACTATGTCAAAATTTATTGTGAATGGTCATTTATCACAGTGTACCCGGTAAACATTTAAATTCAAATGCGCTATTATAAAATCAAATTTATTTCACTGAAGGCTGCATATGGTTCAGCTGTTTATCCTGAATTAAGGTGAGATTATGTACAAAAGAGGATTTTCTTTCTGCCATAAGTCATTTGGAAGGGTTTTCGTAAAAGTTCAATTTCGACGCACAATTTGAACTTGATCACACTAAAATCTCTTATTTTTACGAAAAAGTCAGCTAGTGACTTATGCCAGAATAAAACCTCTTACGTATTCTCACCTTCAATTACAACAATAATGCTTAATACAACTCATGGCACAATTACAGAAGGTATAACAAAGTTACCCCCCTATCGTAGTAAAAACTTTTACATTCTTGCAGTACTGGAACGGAGCATGTTTGTATGTGTGTGCATTGTTTTGAATAAAAAATACAATAATTTCAAATTAAATGCATATTTTCGACATTAATGGGCAACAAATTGCAAAATTTTGGGATAAAATTGTATTATCCTACGAATATGGATTCAATATTGTGGAATGACCCCGAAACTCCATTCTTGTTTCGTGCGTTTTCCCCAATATAAGAATTTTGTTAAAAAAAAATAAATATAAACAAAACCAACTGTTGCATATTTAAAAGTCTATTTGACACTATAAGACTCCAGCACAGAGGTGCATTTTTTTAGTTTCTTTGAAGTTGAACAACCTTTCTTATTGAAAATGACGATTCATTCAATTTTCCTGACTTTGTGTATTTACTCATAGGACCATGGTAGAATCAAGTTAGGTTCTCTTGATTATGTGCATTACTCCAAATTATTTCTGGAGCAGAATCTGTTTATTTTATTCACATTGCATTGTGGTCGTACAACTTATTGTGATCAATTAACCTTTCGCAATACGCACTACGATTTAAACTCAGTATTCTCTGTCTATCTTAAGGAGCATGTACATAAAAAGCTTGAAGTCATGGCTAGGCATATTAATGTCAAATTTTGAAATGTCACAAAATATGCCCAGCCATGACTTCAAGCTTCTTATGTACTTGCGCCCTTAAAGTGAAAATAAATTAAATGATTTTTTGACTGGCTTAAATCATCGGCTGGCTTCTTCGTGAGGAACCCTACCTCTTTTTTACCAATAAACCAGTCGATGGCTTAAGCCAGACAAAAAAGCGTTTTATGTGTTCTCACCTTTAGATTACTTAATCTTGATTTTGAATTGTTTTTTATTTATTTATTTATTTTATTTATTTTCAATTAGTACAGAAACCTAGCCGACAGGGCCATGGACGGTTCAAAAAACTTCTATACATGACTACTCTAAATTAATTATAATATCCTTAATCCTAAAAGAATTACTTAAAATTAAACACTAAAACAAATTAACAAAAAATGAATAAAATTAACAATTGATTGATGGTTCCAAGAACTCCTATACATGACTACTCAAAACTATTCATAACATCCTTAATCTTAAAAATAACATTAAAAAAATAACAAAAAAAAAAAAAAAAAGATTAGCAAAAATCACAATTCATTGAAGATTTAGATAAATCAACTATGCAAGGAAAAAAACAAATTAACACAAGAAAACTATATATTTTAAACAATATTGAAATGAGCATATAATTTAAGCTTATAACATTTTAGGGAAGAATTGAATGTCTTAAGATTAGGTGGCAGATTGTTGAAAATGCGATCAATTCTTACATAGAAGGATTTTTCCAACAGAGGAGTCAAGCGTGGTATAACAATTTACAGGTTCCTTACAGATCTCGAAAACTTAAAAAGGTCCAAAAGAGTAGAAGATGTCCTCAATTTAAAATGTTTGTAGAAGAACAACATTGACCTTAAATTCACAAAACACTCAAACGAACAACCAAGAAACTCTTTCACAGAAGGAGATATATGATCACGACGTTTGACACAAAAAACATATCGCATTACCCTATGAAACAATAGTTTTAACTTACGAAAAACAAAACCGTAGCTACCCCCAAAAATCTCAATACAATATAAAAAGTGAGGCATTATTAATGCATGTACCAACTGAATTCTAATCTTCTTAGGCCAAAGTATGTCCAAGCAGTACAACTTCTTTAAAATAAAGTTAACTTTGGACACTAAAGAATTCACATGCACATCAAACACCAAACCAGAATCACGAAACAAACCAAGACATTTCATCGAGCTTACAACATTTATAGGCATCCTATAAATGGAAACTCTAATTGAATCCTCTTGCAAGTTCCCAAAAAACATAACTTTAGATTTTTGAGTATTTATTGAGAGACCGTTACAGGACAACCAAGTTACCAACATATTAATATTAAAATCAATTGACGACTGCAACACATCCATAAACACATATTCTCCTTTAAACAAAATTTGAATGTCATCAGCAGATGCAAACGACATACAATTCCTACCATTAATACAACTCAGCAAATCATTAACATACATAACGAACAATAGAGGGCCAAGAACAGATCCCTGTGGCACACCACTACTCACTGGAAGAAGATTGGAAACAACATTTTTACCAGAGACATACTGTTTTCTCCCGAACAAGTAAGAAAACATTAACTTACAAGCCGAGGACGAAAAATTGAAGAGACGATGTAACTTACTAATTAAATTGTCATGATTAATCCTGTCAAATGCCTTTTCCAAATCAAGTGATAATAAAACACAGCAATCACCAGCACTGACAGAATTTCTTATATTGTCAGTCAATCCAACCAGAAGAGATGTTGTGCTACGATTACTTCTAAATCCATGTTGACTCTGGTGTAATAGTGAATGCTCATTTATATATTCTAACATTTGATCTTTCAATACATATTCAACCATTTTAGAAAGAATTGGCATTATTGATATGGGTCTGTACTCATCAGAATCACCACTTTTATGAATAGGCACTATTTTAGCAACTTTCCAGAGCTCAGGAAACACAGACACTGTCAAAATCGTATTCACAACATGAAGCACAAAAGGGCCAACAAAGGGAAAAACAAGTTTAAGAAATTTAAGTTTAAAGCCATCGTAACCTACTGCTTTTGACTTAATTTTATTAAAGGCACAAATAACTTCATCATAACTAATAGCACGAAACGAAAAACCACCATAAGCACCTACAGGAACACAGACATCCATAGATTGATTGGAGACAAAACAAGAATTCAACATCTCAACATCCACATTTTCAACTTCACATTCCTCATCACTCAAACCATTCTTATTTAATATTGACCACACTTCCTTTGTGGTTTTATTCATAAACAATTCCTTGTGGGCAATATACTTCAACCTCCTTATGACTTTCTTAGCACGGTTCCGACAACGACAAAAATTCCTCCAATTATCTAAAGTCCTATTTTGAAGATACGCCTTATATGCAGAATCCCTAAGGGAAACATGATAACAGATGTCAGAAGATTTAAACCAATCACTATTATTATTCTTATAAAATCTTCTTCTTATCGGAACAACTGTATGCAAACATTGAAGACCACAATTTAGTATATTTACCTTTGAATCAACATCTGTCACTGTAAACACTTCTTCAAAGTTGCATAAATCCAAAGCATCCGAAATCGCTACTGGGTCAACAGAACTGTAGTCCGCATATTCATAAAACAGACGACTACGACAATTAGGAACATTGAGAGACAAAAATATAAACGAATGGTCAGAAATGCCAGGACAAGAGAATTGATTTGAACATGCTAACAAACTCAAATTCGAATTGTATTCATGAATAACATTTGAGTTGGAGATGTTTTCGTAAATCTTAACATACTTTTAGACAGAGAATACATCATGGTAAAAGAATACAGGTAGATGCATCAACACTCTCGAAAAAAAAATAATTTTAAAATATTTTCTTATACGATGCCATTCAAAGCCTGTTAGGATATGTGCTTTTCAACAAAAATCACTAATTTAAATAATTTTTCATTCAAAATTTAGAATTCCAAAAATATTTTGCCACCTCATTGTACCACCAGCTGTGTGGTTGCGCCTACCTGTATCATTTTGTCCTGGAATACTGTAATCAGCCAATGATACCCTGTTATCATTTCAATTTGCAGTGTCTATACCATATGGCTTGCCACCTTTAGACCCCCTATCACAGTTGGTCTCTCTTTCGTTTTCGATCTATGAATCACTCTGGTCTCTCTGTTTTGATTCCACATCTTTATTCATGTTTCTCCATTACCATGTTTTTCGTTTTAGTGGTGCCAGATTAATTCACTCAGTTCATTGATAAAAAAAATTGATAAAATTTTTATTTTTTTCTTCTCGCGCATACGCGCTGGGAGAAGTAGACTCATCGAAAGTTAAAACTGTTAAAAGTGGTAGTTATGTCCGAAAATAATACAACTGGAGATACATCAACGTACGTCGACATGGATGAATCTACGCAACAGCTTCCACCAATTGACTTCAATGCCGACCGCTTTCCATTCTCCATTGTTTGGACACCGATTCCAATGTTGACCTGGTTCTTCCCATTCATTGGCCATATGGGTATTTGTATGTCTAATGGCGTTATTAGAGATTTTGCTGGGCCCTACTTTGTTTCAGAAGACAACATGGGATTTGGACGACCCGCTCGATATCTGCGCCTGAGTCCCAAGAACGTCGAAGGCGGTTCTTTAATGTGGGACGAAGCCGTATCCAAAGCTTCCGTGCTCTACGGCACACGAATGCACAATCTTTTTTGTGATAACTGTCATTCTCATGTGGCGACAGCATTGAATTTTATGCGTTATAGAGGTTCGAGTTGGAACATGGTGAAACTCGCAGCTTGGATATTTTTCTGCGGTAGATACGTGGGTGTAATGGGTTTCATCAAAACCTGGTTGCCGTTCCTTATCGTTGTTACATTGTGTACTTTGCTGGGAGTTTATTTTTAATGTTGGTGAGAGCAGACAAATGACGCGACCAACATCAATGATGCATTTTTAGTGTCGCAGTTCTTGTATTACTGAAAATTTATTATATATTTTAAATACCTATTTACGAATTTTTCATTTTTATTTTTAAGTTTTTATTAGTGAAAATTTACTAAAGTTTTATGGAGATTTTACATAAACAGGTTATAGAAACTACAAATAAATATGTAGAAAAAGAAACTGCGTTTTACTATAGATTGGTATATTCCAACATTATCTTTCTATTTCCTACGCGTAAAGGGATTGCAGGAATGTACATATGGCTATACTGATTAGATTAATGAATAATCGGTCCCTATATATTCTGAAGGAAAGCAATTCGTATTAATACATATAAACAACTCTAACACTCTGTGAATGGATTTCATCTGGCATCATTGTGGAAAACAAACAACTATCTTAGTTTTACTTGGGCAATACAATAAGTCCCAGCACATTTAATTGCCAAACAAACCGAGATGGGTAAATAGCAAAAATCATATATAAGACTTATAAATTTAGTTATTTAATTATAAAAGACATCCCATTGAAATTAAATTTCATTATCACTATCATCTTCATTTTTGAACGCTTCGCCGGCCTCTATGGCCATTGCATGCCATGGTGCTGGATTTAGGCGATGTACTCCATTCGTTTCTTTGCCAACCAAACTCATTTCATAGCGGAAATCTTTGTCTTTTAGCTCATCATGCACTTGATAGATACTGCAACAATAAACAAATTTAAGAATGAAATATATTTTTTAGAAAAAGTTATTACTCACATTCTTCCTGAATTCTGGACCAAATCAGTGGTCGACATTTCAGTGTAATTGAATTTCTCCATTTCTGTCTTGGCTTGTTGTTTTGCCTTGCCGCTAGCACAAGCAAAATAGCCAAACGAAGAGCCCGATGGTTCAATTTTGTATAGTTGTGGTCCCTGGTCTTCGTCCCATGCAGAAAGAATTACCGAAACACCAAACGGACGGACGGCACTGTAAAGAGTGTAAGCGTGCACATAAGCAGCAACACGTTCCGTTAAATGTCTCAATGGAATAGTTCGTTCGAATTGTTGTCGGTAGTTGGCAGCTTCCTGTCGTGCTATATCCACAATATAACGACCATCGGCTAAGAGACCAGCTATTGCTAAACCAATGTTTTTGTCGATTGTGAAAATACGTGCACCAGCATCTTCCTCATACAGTGGGCTTGTGACAATTTTTTCCACTGCCAACACCACAGAGTCCTTGCCTCTTAGGCCAATAACTGTACCACTTTTTTCAACAGCTTTGGAGGCATAATCAATTTGAAAAACTCGACCGTCCGGGGAGAATTGAGATGCAGACAAATCGTACTGAAAGTAAATAGGAACACTTCGATAATTTCTGTTCTACAATCGTATTTTATATTAATTTACTCACTCCTGTGCCAATAGAACTCATATTTGACAATTTTTTCGTACGTTTCTACTAGAAAACAATATTGCCGATAATTTTTGCAAAATTGAAGAATTAAATATTTTGCAAGTTGTTTGGACGATGAATTGACGGCTTTTTGTTTGGTGGTATTTGAGGTTATGTTTATATTTTGACAGTTTATAATTTCGACTTTTCATTGTGCAGGGTTACCAGGCGTTCAAACAAATAATTGAAAACAGCAGATTACTCTACATGAATTCATGTTTAAATTGTTCAATTGGTATATTTATATAGAAGATGTAAAAGTAGTAAAGGAAATAATTTTTAAAATCAATAAGAAAGAACTGTTTTACCAGAGATAAATCAGCAAGTAGGCCGCAAAGTGAGGTGTATTAAAAATAAGGGAGTTGCAGAAATGGCCGTTTTTCTTCGGACTTTTTACTAAACAATTTTATAATGACAGAAGAATGAGGGAGGTAGAACAAAGCTACCTCTATGGTTGATTTAAGAAGGTAAATTTATGCCACCATATGTTCACAATTTGTTTTTATTTTACAAATCTCACTGACAAAATGTATATTTACAAATCCGTTGTATACACACAAATCAGAGATAGGAATCAGTGTTCTATCCAGTGAAATTTGACATGAATTTTCTTTTGGCGCCTCTATTCCGACAAAACACATATAAAATATGAAAAAAAAATTTTCAATTTGAAAATATTTCAAATTTAGAGGCAACAGAAATTCATATTTTTTACTTTTTCGTGCAACGAAATGTATAATTTTGAAATAAAACCATGTTGGAATTAAGGAGGTGAAGTCATGCATAATAATATGCTTACATTTTTTTTAAATTATTCATTTGACAACTCCTCATTGTCAAAATTGTAGGCATACAAATCAGAAATGGGAACCTGTTTTCTACGCAGCGAAATTTGACAAGGTAAATTACAGAAAATGCAGAGATGGTCATGCTTATTTGAAATGACTTTACCTTTTTAATTTTACCATAGCCTGGGACTGGATTCTTGTTCTATGAAATGAAAAATATTTCCTTTATAAAAGTTTACATTTCACATTTTCATAGAACAAGAATTGAGGCCTTGGCTTAACATGCCAATTCAATTTGTTCTTTTCATTTATATGTAAATTGTTGAGAAAATATTCAAGTTCAGTTGTAATCATGGTAGAAGAAATCAGGTAGATGCATCGACGCAGCTGCTACGACAATGAATTGTCATACCACTTTTAAAAGTGAAAATTATTAAAGAAAAAGTATTCAAATTTGTGCAAATTTTTGAAAAATGCATATCATTGAAGTCGTATAAGAAAACTTATAAAAATCTACTTATTTTTCACAAAAAATTTTACGAAATTTTAACATATCAATGTTTCCAAGGGTTGATGCAACAACCTGTATTCTTCTACCATTGTTGTAATCGAAATGCGTATTATAACGTCTGTATAGACAAAAATTACACTTTTTGTAGCGAAAAAATTTTTGGTGAAATATATAAGACATAATTTTGAAAAGAAATGTGTTTTTTAATTCAAAATCCATGCAACAAGTTGTTTTTTTATTTGATACAAATAACTTAACAATGAATACAGCAAAATCCATACAGGCCTCTTTACTTACAACCCTGGTATAATAAGGAGATAAAATAGATCCGCTTCCTTTTGTTATTTAAAATTAAATGTAACAAGTAGTTCTCATTTTTTTAATATTTTTTTATTCCTAACTGTTCAATATTTCGATTACATGGAAAAACTGGGCAATATTTCCAAGGCGTGCACCGTATTTCATTTTTCAAAACAATAAGTACAAACTGAAATTAGCAGAAGTCGGGTACTCCCAGAAAAAATTGTAAGCAGTGTGTAGCTATAGCTATATATATAGCAGTTCCCATCTCTGACTTGTGAACATACAATGACTTTACCTTCTTAATTTTACCATGAATAGACTTGCAGAACACAAATTAAATTTTGCAATTAAACTTTCATCTTTTCAGTTCATAGAAAAAGTATGCCATCTCTGATGATAACAAGCAGCCATCTGCCATCCCTGATGATGAAAAGCAGTCATCTGGCAACATCGGTTTGTGTCTGCACATGTTTCTTTTTATTTACATTTTTGGACGTTGACATAGCACCATACCTTCGTACGAGAATTAAATTTTTATATTAAATGAAATATTAATTAAAATGGCATTAAACATCAACGAAAAAAGGTTCGCGAAATCAATGGCTGCCCAAGAGAAAAGTTTTAATACATAATTTTCTTTATAGTTTTGCCGTTCAGGCAAGTTATGGCAATTTCTATGCTGGCGGAGATGTCGCATGGAGCAAAGATGGAAAATGGATTTTCTGTCTAAATGGATCCGAAATAACAAAGGTGGATGTTCAAACGGGTTTGGTAAATCGTTCATATGGTCTAAACTACAACGAGGAAGGTGAACGCATAAATACCGGTGCTGAGGAAGAGGAGAATGATGATACAATTTACTGTTTTGATTTGTCGCCAAACCAAGAATATATCGTTACAGTACATCGTAGTAGTTTGTTGCGATTATGGCATTTGCCCACAGGAAAAATTGAGAAACTATGGAAGAGTCAACACAAAGGACCGGTAGTAAAAGTAGCTTTTAGCAGCGATGCAAAGTTGATTTGTACAAGCGGAGCAGATTCGACACTGAGAATATGGGACTATGATAACAGCAGATGTTTGTGTGCGCTAAAAGAATTTGTTGGACCCGCAAATTTAGTTCAATTTCACCCAAATCCTGCCAAAAAAGAAATATTTGCTGCTGGAGCAGATAATGCCATTTATAAGTGGAATTACGAGACGAAGGAAATGCAAGCAAAGATGAAGGGACATTTGTCACAGGTTACTGGTTTTGATTTCTCCGATAACACTGTGGAATGTAAAAATCTGGTGTCTGTTAGCAGGGACAAGGTTTTAATAGTTTGGAATATGGACGATGGCAAGCAATTGAAGGTAGTACCTCTGTATGAAGAAATCGTAGGTGTATTCTACAAGGATAAGACAAATGCAATAGTCGTTGGATTAAACGGGAACCTAAAGCAAATAAATTGTGGCTCTGGAAAAATATCTGTGCTTTTGGAAAGCCAAGAAAAGGAGTATGAGATTAATAAAATGTTGAGGAATGCCCTCAACAATCAACTTGCGGTTGTAACGACAGATCACAATATTTTAATTTTTGAAATGGAACCAAAATTAAAGTGCTTCAAACATCTGATTGGATTTAATGATGAGATTTTGGATATTTGCTTCTTGGGTGAGTCAGAACAATTCCTGGCTGTTGCTACGAATAGCAAGCACATCAAACTGTACGATATTGAAAATGACATGAATTGTAATATCATTGTGGGCCACAAGGACACGGTAATGACACTATCGTCTCCTGGATCAAGCAATTTGCTGCTGTCTGCTGGTAAAGATTACAGCATATTCTTATGGTCTTTAGATAAAGAAAATGCGACATTAAAATGTTTGGCGAAGAATACCAGCAGTCATACTGCAACTATTGGTTGTATTAGTTTTGGATTTAACTGCAGCAACGTATTTGCGTCGGTCTGTCAAAGTGGCAGCATGAAGGTTTGGACATTAAAAGCAAAACACAAACAAGAAGAGTACGAATTTTTAATCAAGTATGCGGCTCTTGCACACGACAAGGAAGTGAACAGTGTCTCGTTTTCGCCAAACAACAAAATTATAGCAACTGCTTCGCAGGATAAAACTGCTAAACTGTGGTCAGCGGACTCGCACAGTATAATTGGCACACTGCGCGGGCATTCTCGCGGTGTTTGGAGTGTTCGATTCTCACCCACAGATCAAATCGTGTTGACCACATCTTCCGATTGCAGTTTGCGCCTGTGGTCCTTGTCCAATCTTTCCTGTCTGAAACGTTTGGAGCAAACTGCAACTGTTTTGAGGGCTGAATTCATAGATCATGGCAAATATATCATATCTTCGGGTTCCGATGGTCTTCTCAAGGTGTGGAATATAAAAACGAATGCCTGTGTCCAGACTCTGGATGAACATGACGATCGAGTGTGGTCTCTGGCGGTGTCTTCCAAAACTCAAAAGTACTTCTTCAGTGCTGCCGCCGATTCCAAACTTATCAAATGGAAAGACATTACTGAAGAGTGTAAAAATTCCGAAATAGATAAACGTCAAGCTGAGCTGCAAGAAGAACAATCATTGCAGACGTTGTTGCACCAAAATAAAAATCTAAAGAAAGCATTTGTTTTGGCTCTGAAACTGGGCAAACCTCGAGTGACGTACAATATTTTGAATCAATTTATACAGAAGAGGCAACATGCTGCTATTGGCGACCTAATAACACAATTAAATAATGACCGTAAACTAATATTATTGGATCATGTTAAGGTATGGAGTTGTAATGCTCGGTATTCACAAGTTTCCAATGTGGTGTTGCATCATCTGTTGAATGAAATGTTGGTTGAACCATCATTGCAAAGATCACTCAATGCCAAAAACCTGGTGGAAGTTGTTACACCATATGTACAGCGTCATTTTAAGCGAGTAACCGAGCTAAGTAAAGAGCTAAATTTCTTAGATTTCATTGTTCAAAATATTTAAATAAAATGTTATATTTTATATAATTTCTATTATTGTGTGTTATTAAATGCGTTGCCAAGTTTTTAACCATTATTTAGTTCAACGAAATCCCCTATAAAATGCGAGGTATATTAGCAAATACATATGTAGGATAGGATGTGTGGGTAATATATATGATTAAAGACCAGATCACGTTTGTTATCTTATTGAGATAATATTAAAAATATGAGAGATCATAAAGCGTTTATGTTTACAATCCAATCCATTTTAGATGGTTTTTTAAATTACCAATTCTTCGAGTCATTACAACTCTGTAAAACGTTGTTGTTCCGGACTATATGTTTCTGCAATCATGATTTTTTTATGATTTTTTTTTTAGTTTCTTAATTCCCAGCCTTCAACGACAGGTAGTACCTCAGACTCCGAATCTGACAGCAGCAAAAAGACCTAGACCACAACAAAGAAGGAGACGCACAGATCGATAGAGGAAGTGAGCGACAGCTTGGCGAAGCTCGCGTCGCGTCTAGAGTTATAGAAATGGGCAAAGAACGCCCGCATATCTCTATGGAACAATGAAGGCATAGTAAAAACCACAAAAATCCTTTGGGGCGACCCCAATGAGATAAAAACGAGGAATATTTTATTACTAGTTAAGAAAGAGATTAGCGGGGTAATAGGCATTCTTACGGCGATCTCTGCCCACAAGCACATCTGTTTGAAATTGGGTGTGCAAATATCAGCGTATGCAGAGCATACGGGGAAGATGACGTACCATTGGAGCATTTTCTCTGCCAATGCCCAGCATTTGCAAATATTAGACCCCAATACTTAGGGAACGAATTCGTTTGCCAAACTCTGTTGGGTCCCTGGATACTCAATATATCTGGCAATGAATTGGGCAGACTCGGATCTGAGTCAATAGATCTAGAGATTGAGAGCTCAGTGAAGCCACCCTTATGTCACTTCTTCCAAGTACTGCATAATCATTATCTTGGCAGATTTCGATAGAACTGACTAACTGAAAGGGGATGTAATGTCTCCAAAAAGATTTGGCCGGTGAACTCCGAAAGGAGATCAATGATTACACCGTGGATGCAAACCTACTATCTTCTCTACTCTTTATTCAGATTCTCTCTTCTTTACTATCCGTTATTTATTTCCTGTCCTAACCTAACCTACGACAGAGAGTAATCAACAATACATGCTTTGTGCTCAGAAATGAGAATATTTTAAAGTAATTTTGTTTCAAAATATTTATTTAGAATTTACTCTAGGTGGATTCATTTTGAAACACCCTTGGTAAATTGGATGATGTTTTGGGATTTGTTAAATTATAGGATATATAATATTCTGATCCCTCTTTAAGACAGCAGTTACAAACTTCTCATGTTAGGACTTTCTTAAAATATGGTTCCGTTGTATGAGATTTTCCATATGCCATATTGCTGATAAAAAAGAAACAGTGCAAAACCTATTTCTGCTTTTGCGTTTAGACATCTACATTGCAATATTGATATTGGGTTCCTTCTATGGTAGAAGAATATAGGTAGACGACATCGACACAGCTGCTGGGACAATGAACTGTTAAACCAATTTTGGAATTGAAAATGTTGAGTGAAAAATTAGTTAAATTTGTAAAAATTGTTGAAAAATGCGAATTATAATAACCTCCGAATAACATCGTTTAAGAAAACATATAAAAATCTACTTATATTTGAAAAAACATTAAATTTTTTTATAAATGTCTCCAAGCGTTGATGCATCTACCTGTATACTCCTACTATGGTTTCTTCATACTCTAGCAGGTTATCATTTATTTAATTGCCTACATGAATCAAATCTCATGTTAACATCCAAAGTGGTTAATGAGTATTTTTGTATGTCATATGTATTTAATTTCGACAATGTTTGACATTCAAAATATAATTTTATTATGTTAGCATAGACGGTGAAACAAGACTGTTGCTTTTCTCAATAAATTGTTTTTCCCTGAAGATGACTGTCGAAGAAGAAGTCGAAATATCGGAAAATAAAAATTATAAAAATAAAACACTGATGTTTTCAATTGATCTAAAGCCAAAATAAAGTTATTAAAAATTTTATTATCATTTGGATTTATCTAAAATTTTAATTTAAAATTTGTTGGTTTGCAATACTAATGATTCCCTTGTAAATCGTATTTTTCTGAGGTATGAAAATATACCAGATTGATTTCGTTTATTGATGTCTACTTTAGTACTTACCATTAACATTAATAAAGTAAAAAGTTTTCCAATTTTTTTCTTATTTATTTGTCTTTATATTTATTTTCAAATTTTAACGGTTATGTTTAATGGGATTTTTCACAAAAGGAAAACATGGCTGTAACGAATCTAACAACTGGGGTTTGTGGTATGACATTGAAAATGGTACAAAAATAAAAACATACATACATTAAATCAATAGCTATAAAAAGAGGAATCGAAATGAATATTTTTAATATTTTCTACAAATCTTAACAGCAAGGATAACAAATCAATTACAAAGAAAACAAATCATAAAAAAATAATATAAGTAATAATAATAATTAATATAATTACAAACTTACAAACTGCGTTTTGTGCGCTTTCCGCTAAGAGACAAGTAAGGAGTGAGGGACAATCGATTAGCCATACAACATAAAAAGGGTGATAAAGTAACACAGCAAACGTTTGAACATGAATATGCATTGGGTTACACAGATTGGTAGTACTATCGTTTTAGCTTAAATATATAAATATGTACGTGTATATTATGTATTACAATTGATGTTTCGTCGCTTTGTTTCTTTTTGAACTTTTCGAATGGTTGGCTTTGTAACAACTATCACTGGTTTGAACACTTGGATTCTCTATAGAGAAATGTTTGTTCTTTTCAAGTCGATTGTAAAGATTTCTAAAATAATGCTCACAATTATTTTCTTCTACTTGTATATATGTATAGGTGAGGGTAGTTGTTGTTGTTGTTTAGCGTTTAGCGTATATAAAACTATTTCTAAGAGAGAGATAGAGAGAGGAGTATGAGGGGCTGATAATTGGGACCAGTCTACTCAACGGTCATCAACAAGTCATCGCCCTCCAGTTTCATGCCGTTGGTAATTTCCAATTTCTTAACAACACCAGCCTTGGGAGCTTGGACAACCATTTCCATTTTCATGGCAGACAAAACTACCAAGGGTTGACCCTTTTCCACTTTGTCACCTTCCTTGACGCGGACATCAATTACTGTACCGGGCATGGGGGCACCAACTTCATTCTTGTTACTCTTTGAGGCCTTGGGGTGAATGTGCAATTCCTGTACAAATTGGAAAACATGACATAACATTAAAATAAAAATAAAGTCTATTGTCTGGTATGTTTTTCATACCTTGGCAGCTTCCTTGTCGCGGATCAATACGGAACGCAATTGACCGTTCATTTCGAAGAATACTTCACGTTCGCCATTGGCAGTCAAGTCTTCGGCCATAGCCAAGGTCTTCAAACTGATTGTCTTGCCCTTTTCGAGATTAACTTCAAATTCTTCGCCAACCTTTGGTCCAGTGAGGAAAATACGTGTGTCCAATTTGTCTACTGGGCCATATGATTCGCGGAAGTGCAAATATTCTTCGGTAACAGCGGGATATAAAGCTGCGGACATGACATCGCGTTCGCTAACGTGAGGATGGCTTTCTTTAAGGTCCTTCTTCAATTTGTCAAAGTCCAAGGGTGCTAAATTCTCTCCGGGGCGGCCCTCAATGCGTGGCATATCCTTGAGAACACGAGAGCGCAAAGGCTCTGGGAAGCCACCATGAGGTATACCTATCGAACCCTGAAGGAATTCAACGACCGACTTGGGGAATGACAATTCTTCGGCCTTTTCCAAAACTTCGTCGGCTGTCAACTTATTTTGCACCATAAATTGAGCCAAATCACCCACAACCTTAGAAGAGGGAGTGACCTTAATGATATCACCCAACAACAGATTGGCTTCTCTGTAGGCCTTCTTGACGTCCTCGAAGAAATCGCCCAAACCCAATGAGAAAGCTTGGAACTGTAAGTTGGTGTATTGACCACCAGGAATTTCGTTCATGTACACATCGGCGTTGCCAGATTTCATGGTCGTTGTGCATTCGAATGGTGCGTAGAGGGTACGAGTTTGTTCCCAGTAGGCGGAGTATTCTGATACATCGCTCAACTCGAATTTGGTATCCAATGGAGTTCCTTGCAGAGAGGCAACAATGGCACCCATTGAAGGTTGGGAGGTCATGCCAGACATGGAATCGACGGCGACATCGACAACATCAGCTCCAGCTTCAGCACAAGCCAGCATAGAGGCAACACCAGCACCAGATGTGTCATGGGTGTGGATGTGAATTGGAACATCGGGGTGTTTGTCACGAATGGCAGAAATCAACAATCTGTAAACAAGAAAAATGAACGTGAATATCTAGCAATGGTCTAAGTTATGAAATTTGATCTTACTTGGAAGCCTGGGGTTTCAATAGACCGGCCATATCCTTAATACACAATACATGTGTACCAGCCTTGACCAATTCATCAGCCAAATTGGTGTAGTATTTGAGGTCGTATTTGGAGCGTTTGGGATCGCTGACATCACCGGTATACGAAATGGCGGCTTCAACTACACCACCGGCCTTACCAGCAGCTTCCATACCCAAAATCAAGTTGGGCAAGTAGTTCAATGAATCGAAGACACGGAAGATATCCATACCAGTTTGAACCTATGGGAATATTACAAAATATTTGTCATTATCGGCATTCTAATTTTCATTACTCGTTTCAATACTTACAGCCAATTCACAGAATTTGAAGACAACATTGTCAGGATAGTTGGTGTAACCAACAGCATTGGCACCTCTCAACAACATTTGGAATGGAATATTGGGTATCAAATTACGCATGGCTTCCAAACGTTCCCATGGACATTCGTGAAGGAAACGCAAGGCAACGTCGAAGGTAGCACCGCCCCAATTTTCCAAGGAATACAAATCGTGGAATTTGTTGGCAACATATGGCGAGATGTTCAACAAATCGTGAGAACGTACACGGGTAGCCAACAACGATTGATGGGCGTCTCTGAATGTGGTGTCCATCAACATGAGATTTTTGCGTGAACGAACTTCTTTGGCAAAGGCTTCAGGTCCTTGAGTAGTTAAGATGTGACGCAAACCCTTTGGAGGTTCGGTAACTAAAGTGGGGTAAGTGGTGTGGAGGGGGAAAAACATAAATATTAGTAAACGATGTAATTAAATATATTATACAATATTGTTTATTAGATTATATACATGTGTACATATGTAAGTTGTTTTATATATTAAAGCTTAAGCCTTTATTTTGTTCTTTGATATACATCAATTCTGAGAACCTCTTTCCCGTTTTCTATTACCTTGGTTAGTTGGGATTGTTATTAGTTTGTTTATGATCCTAAACATGTAATGTGGCGGAAAATTATCTACATTGTGTTATTAAATAATACATACGATTGTACAAAAATTAATATGTATGCAAATATATAAACAAAAATGTACAAAATGATCATAAATATTGAATATATTAAATATATTAAACTTAAAGTAATTTACATAATGTGTGGATTCAAAGTCTTCAAAAATGATAATGGTGTTCAATTTCAATGTCAATTTTTTATGCAAGTGCATATTTCCCCGTGCCCCCTTTCAAGTTCGACTTTTGTTAGCTCAGGAAAACTCCAAAGTGGATACTATGGCTAGGCATGGTATCGAATTAGTCTTTGAATAACATATTTTCAAATATATTTTTGGCTATTTAATTGTGTGTTTAAATATTGAGGGCTGGAATCATGATGTCAACCAATGAAGCCAGGAATACATTTCCATGTCATTTCGGTTAGGACCAAAAGGACAAATGCGATCTTCTTCAAGAGGAAGTTATAACAATTTTGAAAACAATCCATTTAGGGACTGTGTTAGTGTAAAGATGCGCAGGGAATGCTATCTTGCAGTATTATATTAATATATGTTTAACAACAACTTGCTGTAGATTTGAGGAAGTGTCCGTATTTTATATAAGAGTGTGACTAATGTACGCAAAATGCAGCGTTAATGGTCACAAGTTATTTCCATAGATTTCAAATCAGCTGTACGTCTGAATTATAATACTTTATAGGGAATACTATGGGAAACGTTATGAAGGTGTACGTTACAAATGTTTATGTTATAATATTTTATGAAATAACCTATGTGCCGCTAGTGATAACAAATAATATCAATGTTTAATGGCAAATATTCCAATTAACATTTGTGTTGAAAATTTAATAATTTTGATGTGGTTGAAAACTAATGTCAATTTACAACCACGAATGGCCAAATGATAATGGTTTACAAATTCAATTTTGTAGTTAGACTTTGAATCCACATTCCTAGAACACCGTAAATTGTTGTGCATGTAACATACCTTTAGCTTCACCACGTGTTTCACGTTCAATAGCCTCGGGTGATAAATCTTCAATGTTTTCATAAGAACGTGGCAAAGGCAATTTGATTGTGTCAACATTCATTGTGGGTTTTATGATGTCGAACAGTTTTTGCGTTTTTCGGTTTTTGATTTTGAAATGATTTGATGCAACATTTTGGGTGTTTGGTTTGGATTTTTTTGTTTAGGCGTGGATTAATAACAAAATGCAAAACACATAAAAGTAGATATAAATTGAAAATCAAATTTAAGAAACAAAGAAAAAAGATAGGTGTTATTTAAAAAGGAAATCAATAAAAAAAAGCTAAAACATTTCTTTTTAAAAGCTTTGTACTTTTTTGGCTTTAAAATAAAAGTCACACATAAAAAGCAAAGTGTAGAAAAAAAAGACCCATTTCCAATCAGAAAAACAAATCAAGTAACAAGTGAAATCCTGTCATAAAGGCCTAACATCTAATTTCGCATACATTTCTCAATTTCATTGAACTCAAACTATCTGAAATCGCTCCATTTGTTGCGAGTTTGTTATATCTTTTATAACTTTGATGTACATTTTTATATTTTTTAACGGCATTTCTCAAAATCTTGAATAACGTTTTTTTCAATTAAAAATTTATTCTCGGTGAATACAAAAATGCACGGACGGTTGTAAAATCTGACAATTTTTATTATTATTATTAATTTAAGACCACGAGTTGATTTTTAAAAAATTCTAACGGCAATCTAATCTACCAATCTAAAATACCTCATAGAAAAGTGGGGACACTGCCTCTTTAATTTTTGGAATAAAATAAAATCGAAATTACTTCAAAGTATATTCACTGCCGATTTGTCTATTATTTTTGTATCTTGTTATGGAGATCAAAGTAGAAAAGGATTGTGGTATTAAACTTCATTCATTCTGTAAATAAAATCTGCTAATAATTTTTAAAACATCGTATGTATAAAAATTTGTACTTCCTTAAATTTCCTATGTAACACATTCTGCTTTTTATTTATTTATTTTTAATAAAATGCAAGCCCTAGTCCTCCTTCAAAATTCCTACATTACTTCCTATCACATTTAGTGCATTTTAGCTGGCATTAGAAGATTCAAAGTAGATAGATTCCTTTGTCAAAAAGGGAAACTATTCTTACTTACCTAAAGGCACTGATGGTATATGTGGCTTCACTTCGGCTGGCTTCAAACCGGTAGCCAATGGCGTTTGTGGTCCGTTCACCAAAACCTCACCCAAATAATTCAATAACTTTTGAGCACGATTTTGTGATACACGGAATTTGAATAACTGAGGATGTTCGTCGATAAAGTAGGTGTCCAAAACACCGTGCAAGAACTTCTGATTCTCCAAAACGTTCAACAAGAATGGTATGTTGGTCTTGACGCCACGTATACGGAATTCACGTAGGGCACGGTTCATTTTCGAGGCGGAACTTTGTAAGTCACTGGCATGTGAGATAATTTTGACTAGTAGGGAATCGTAGTATGGCGAAATAATTGCACCGGCAAATGCAGAGGCACTGTCCAAACGAATGCCCATACCTTCACCAGAACGGAAAACTTCCAAACGACCAGTGCTGGGTTGGAAATCATTGGCGGGATCTTCAGTGGTAACACGGCATTGGATGGCATAACCACGAGGCTTGATTTTGTCCTGGGTGTAACCCAATTCAGGCAAGGTCATGCCTTCGGCCACACGGATTTGAGATTGCACCAAATCGATACCGGTGATTTCTTCTGTCACAGTGTGCTCGACTTGCAAACGGGCATTGACTTCAATGAAATAGAAATTGCCACTTTCGTCGCACAAAAATTCAACAGTACCGGCATTTTCATAACCCACATGTTGGGCCAAACGAACAGCAGCTTCTGTCATCTTATCACGTACTTCCTGGGGTAAACGGGGAGCAGGCGCAATTTCAACGACTTTCTGGTGACGACGTTGCACAGAGCAGTCACGTTCGTACAAATGTACTACATTTCCAGCCTTGTCTCCCAACAATTGTACTTCAATGTGGCGGGGACGTTCAATGAACTTTTCAATGAACATGGCACCATTACCGAAGGCAGCCTTAGCTTCTGAACTGGCTCTCATAAACATTTCTTCGACTTCATCCATTTTACGCACGACACGCATACCGCGGCCGCCACCACCGTAGGCAGCTTTGAAAATCACTGGCAGGCCATGTTTCTTACAGAATTCCAATGCTTCTTCCTTTGTGGTCACAGGACCATCAGTACCGGGAACAATTGGTACACCAGCTTCGATGGCAGCAATACGAGCGGCAACTTTGTCACCCATCTGTTGGACAACTTTTGGTGAGGGACCAATGAAGCGAAGACCAGCATCGATGACGGCCTGGGCGAAGTCACTGCGTTCCGAAAGGAAACCATAACCAGGATGCACAGCATCCACATCGTTTTCTTTGCAAACACGAATGATTTCTGGAATGTTTAAGTAGGCTTCTACGGGGGGCAAGCCCTTGCCAACCAAATAGGATTCGTCGGCTTTTTGGCGATGCATGTGCATCTTGTCCTGCTCCGAGTAGATAGCTACAGATTTAATGCCCAATTCAGTACAGGCACGGAAAACACGAATGGCAATTTCACCACGGTTGGCCACCAACACGGAGCGAATGGGTTTGTATTCAACCTAGAAGCGGGAATGGAAAAGTAATTAAAAAAGGATTGTAGAGGTATTGTTTTGTGTTACTCACCTGAGTGGAGTAGGCATTTTTGTTGTACAAGTACACACGAACACGTGGTGTGGTTTGGCGCAAAGTTTTAAAGGCCGATTGGGCTGCTCCGAATAGCATTTTGAACTAAAATAAAATGAAGAAAAACTATGAAATAAAATTGTATAAATGTTGTGGCGAAAAAATGTCAGTTGATGTCTATATTTGTTAAAACGAACCACGATTGATTGAACGTTTGCAAGTTGATAGTAAAATTGTGGATTATGTGGTTTGTTGCCTATCTCATATGTATGTATAAAGTTGAGTATATATATGTGTGTGCGCGTGTGTGACAACAAATTGTATTAATTGTGACGCAGAATAATTGAAGCACTTTGTAAAATTATATTCTGTGGTTTTTTTTTTCTTTCAGAAGTACCGCCTAGGTGTGAAAATTGTGGTCAACGGGTAACCATGATTTTGCTTAACTTTTTGAAAAGAAATCTGTCTAGAGGATCGTAGGAAAAAATTTTCATGTGCAAATAAATGAAATAATAAACCCCTCAATTTGAATTGATTATAATACCTAGATGGTGTACCATAACCATAGGCAAATGAAGAAAAACCCAGCTGATTTATGGGAAAATTTTCAAGATAGTTTCTGTTTAAAAGTAACCCTACGTAAATTTTTGTACCCTCCACCATAGTATGGAGGGTATATTAAGTTTGTCCTTCCGTTTGTAACACCTAGAAATATATATTCTAGACCCCACAAAGTATATATATTCTTGATCAGCATAAAATGTGGAAATCACTCTAGCTTCCGAACGAAATGAAGTAGGTTGATAAAATTTTACTTAAATGTATATTATGTCTGCAGGGCTTTTGATATTGAAAAATGGGCCATGTAGGTCCACGTTTTGTTGTTTTTTTTTTTTTTGTATACTGCAGCCTATGACAGAATATTGTCTGTACAGGTCCACGTCTTCGTATAGCGCCCATATAACGGCACCTCCCGATATTCGGTATTTTCATGATTTTAGGGATATTATTCAAACTATCATCAATCATTTTCAACTAGGGAAATAATTTGAGCATTTTCAAACATATTTTTGACAATTTTGTTGAAAATTTAAGTGAAATCGACGATGAACCAAACACAATTTTGTGTTTTAACTCCAAAATGTTTACATTGATTTTTTCAGAGGTTTAGAATTTCAAAATCAAACATTACGTTAACATTACTCATAAAGTGAATGGCAATTGAGTGTCTGTAGGTCAGTCGGTCTGAACGAACCACCAGAGTGTGTGTGGAAATTTTTTGCTGAAAATGTTATGCAATAATAATAATATTCTATGGCATTGCGTGTTTACAAGGATTTATATACCATTAGTATGCATTTTAAGACATTCAACATTGGAGTGATAGATATTTAAATTACAAAAATTAATAAAATAGTACAACCCATGGTACAATGAAGAGAAGGTAGGTCAACTTTGAAAAAATTGCAAGTATAGAGGTCTACCTGTTTGGCTTGTAATGTCAGAATTACTATCAAAACAATAAAAAAGCAAACAACTTGTTGTATTGATTTTGAATAAATAATTTCAAACCGCGAAAAATGAATGAAAGGTCAAAATTTCTGTTCAAAATCATGTTCTATATATCTCTACGGTTTATTTCGCGACAAAAACTGTAGATTTTGTCGATGCATACGTTTTAATAAGCATTTTGAAAACACCAAATTTGAATATTTTCTGAACAATTTTTTATTATTGAAAAAATTACGCACACATAAACAAATGAAGTTGACATATTAAGCCTGAAAAATAAAAAAAATTAAAATCATATCATGATACCATGAGTACAACTAAATACCCATGTAATTGGAAATTATGATCTTGTTTTTGTATGTGTTTACAAAAGTGAATCTGTAAGAAAGTATGTTTTAAATTTGTTGTTTTAAATTGGGAATAAAACTAAATGTTGGAAATACTCATTATTATCAGAGTGCTAATGTGTTTAAAGATTATTTGCGAATAAATTTATTGATTTCCAGTAACTATTTAGCTCTAATATTGCTATTTTTGGAGTGTCGTTAGACATTCAGCACAGTTTACCAAAAAAAAGATCAACCGGCACGGTCAGCTATAAAATGTCTAGTATATTCATTTTATTAAACTTGAACTTGAAACAAGTTTTGAATTTGTATTGCTTTTTTGTGAATGTTTTGCCAAAAAAAAAGACAGAATGAAAACGTGTTTGAATGTTTTGACTGCCATAACACATGTAAATTGGTTTATACAGTTGAACGTGGCTATAACTAAACATAGTATTTTATGCACAATATTGTTGAAATGAGTACTAAGATAATATACGTATATACGTCGTAGGGATTTAGTTGTGACCTTGTCTCACTGTATTTTGTATGCATTTTAATCAAATAAGTGGAATGAAATGAAAAAAGTTCCCAAAACCAAAACAAGTTAATAAGAAAAAAGAAAAAACTGCAACCAACTTCAGACTGTTGTCATTTCTAAGCCATTCGTCCAACAGCTGTTAAAATTATTCCAGTGAGAGCTCGTTATATTGTTTACAAGCGTAAAAAGTATTTTGGTGAGAATTTTCCAGAAAACATTTTATTCGCGATTGAATTCAAGCGTGATTTTTTTATGTTTGGCTGGAAAACCACAAGTGGCTATCGTTAGAGAATTCCAGCATTTAAATATGAATAAATTTTTTGTGTCTCGTACCATCGCTCGTTACCGTGATACTAATAACGTAGCCGGACGTTAAGGAAGTGGACGGAAGAAAACAGCAACATCACCAAAAATGGTTCGAAATGTAAAGAAGCGACTTGATCAAAACCCGCGTGGCAGTGGCCGACAAATGGCTCGTGAGCTGAACATATCGCAATATTCCATTTAGCAAATACTGAAAAATGAGCCATTGATATTCCGAAAAGTGCAAGAAATTACACCGCAACAGAAAGTAAATAGACTCAAAGACCTAAAGAGTTGCTTCGCTTGGCCGAAAGTGAACTGTCGAATTTGGTTTTCTCCGATGAGAAAACATTCGTTGTCCAGCAGTTTGCAAACAAATAAAATTATCGTGTTTACTTGCCAAAGAGGTCAGGTGAAAATGTGCACCTTCGGTTGGCCACCAGAACTCAAGCGCCGGCCATGGTGATGGTGTGGGCCGCCATAACAGCCGATGGTCGCTATCCGCTCGTATTAATCGACCATGGCATCAGAATAAATGCCTTTGGCACGCAAACATTTTGGCCGCAGACGTTGGACATTCCAACAGAACTCAGCACCATCGCACTCAGCATGCGCCACCCAAAAATGGTTACAAAATGAGGTTCCTCACTTCATTTCCAGCGCACAACGGCCACCAAAATCTACGGAAACCAATCCGTTGGACTAAAAAATACCAAAGTGTCGATCACCTCAAACAAGCGCATCGCCGAGAATGGGCCAAAATACCGCAGAGCAAGATACGGGCATTGGCCGTTTGAAGGCCATAATTCGTGCCAAAGGTGACCGATTCGAACAAATCTAAAGTAATTCTAAAATTTTATGTTATTTCCGACATTTTTTGCTTTTATTCAATAAAATTCAATTTTGTTGCACTTTTTTATCTTACCCTGTATAATTTTCACCATAAGGATTTGGTGTTGACCTTGTTTCACCGTATTTCTATATGCATTTTAGTCAAACAACTGGAATGAAATTAAAAATGTTCCCAAAACCAAAACAGGTTAATAAATATGTTAATGAAACAACATGTATTGCTGTACCTTGGATATTTTATTTCGGTTTGAAAGAAGCTGAGTGGGCGTGGCTGGTAAAGAAACGTCTTTATGGACTTTGTCCAAATCTATTGTCAATTAATAATTGCGATAACACGAATTTAAAGTACATTTGCTGCTAATATCCTTTAGAACTGTGCGCAATAAAATTAAATAATCTTCAAGTCTTTTTAAAATAGTTTTCGGTATAAACATTAAGCACCATACCATAATTTGATAAAATTCAGTTAACTTTCCAAATACTCTCCATATTGATAACACAAAAACACAACACGTTTCTGATAATTGTTTTTTTATTGTTGTTGTTTTTTTTTTAAGTATTTGTTATACCTATTTGCAAATAAAATATTTTAACAATTAACATTGTTCAAGTGGGCTAATCTTTGTAAACAAAGTTTGCTTTTGAACTTCGATATAGTTCCTCGAACAACAAAATATTGTATTTGGCAGTCCAATTCTTAAAATGATTTATGACATTTTAATTAATCAATTATGAAAATGGGCAACATGGTCTGGCTGGTATTGAAATAGGCTAGCTTGTCTAGTGATAAGCATATTCAAATCACCTTCGCGTCCTATCTTGAAGTATGTAGACAGGCAAAAAAATGGAAGTGCATTATTTGCAAAATACTTGATAATAATGAAATTGGACTTTGCCAGGGGCGATGTAAATGTTGTGTGTTGTGACTAAGTTAAGAAATGCAGGATTTTGTGAATGTGGAGAACCAGCCATTTTTATATCCCCACCATTCTATGGAGGGTATATTAACTTTGTCATTCCGTTTGTAACTCCTCGACATACTCATGTCAGACCCAAGAAAGTATATATATTCTTGATCAGCGTAAAATTCTAAGTCAATTTAGCGATGTTTGTATGTTATAATCACGTTATCTTTCGAACGAATTGAGATAGAAGGCTAAAATTTTGTACACATGTTTATTTTACCAGTAGGCCGTTCATAAATGGGTCATGTACGTCCACGTTTCCATATAGCCCCCATTTATTTACATCCTGATATTATGATTTTAGCGACATTATTCACCGGAACGGTTTCAAATTTGGTATTTGAAGTTCGAAATGGGTACTACAGCCAAAGACAGAAAATTGTCTGTGCAGGTCCACGTCTTCGTATAGCCCCCATATAAAGGTACCTCCCTATATTCCGTATTTTGATAATTTTAGCGACATTATTCACCGGAATCGTTTCAAATTTCGTATCTTAATGGGTACTACAACTTATGTAAAAAATTCGTACGCAGGTCCACGTCTTCGTATAGCCCCCACACATCGGTACCTTCCGATACTCCGTATTTTCATGATTTTTGCGACAT